GGAAACACAAGTAATCAAAAGAGAAGCAGATATGATGTGTTCAGGGGGCGAAACAGAATGAATTACACAGGAGTTAAGAATGGGAATGAATACAAGGGAAATTCAACAAGCCGAAACAAGAAAGGAAATAATTATTCCTCAGGAAATACATCCGAGGGAAACAAGGGTAACAAAAAGCAAGATAAAAACGTTTTGATTAAAGTGAAAACCATTTCGACCACTTCCATAAGTCCAAACAATGAGGCCTCGAATCTGAAGCGATATATATAAGTGACGTGAACCTAATGACATTAAATAGAGTCAATACTAAATTCATAGCGGACTCTGGAGCGACAGATCATTTGACAAAATCAAAAATTGTCTTTAAAACTTTCAATTAGATAAATCATTGAATAATTAAATGCGCAAACAAAAATTCTGGAGCAGACTTGAAAACGGAGGGAGTGGGTAAAATCGAAATCGAACTCAAGAACGGAAAAAAAATTGAAATTGACAGTCATTTTTGCCGAAGCACTTAAAGAAAATCTGTTATCATTGAGAAGATTTGCACAGTTCGGATATGTGATATATTTAGATAATAAAAACATCGACATTACCGACCCAAAGACGAATGAGTCATTCATCTCGGGAGTATACAAGCAGCCGTACTCGATTATCGAATTGGAAATTAATAACTGCAGTTCTAATTCTGAGAACCTACCAGTTAGAATAAACGAGTATACGCAAACTTAGCAGAAAGGGAATTAGAGCAGCGGAAATATCTCACACGAAGTGCAGCTGGTAGAGAAAAACAAGAAGTATCCAATTACGAAAATCTAGTTAAGGAAAAAGGAAATTCTGAAGTGGAAAATGGTGATGATAAGAAAACAAATATACCTGAGGAGAGACCAAAAACAAGTAACCATAGTGAAGAGAGAAAAATTCCATACGAACATTCGAATCTGATAAGTTCGATTTGCGATAGCCATATTCATAACATTCAGGAACTCCCATTTATTGAATGTACTGACGCAGAAATCAATTTCAAGGTAGAAATCAATAAGTCAACCAAATGCAATAAAGCGATATTGCGGCGCAGTCAATTCGGCAATGCATCAATCGGGTATCTCAAAGTGTTGCAATTGAAATATCCTGAAAATAAAGAATCAAATGACGTGATATTTGACGAGTCAATATCAGGGTGTGAAGTCTGCTTAATATCAAAATTCAATAAGTTGCCTTTTCTTTCATTGCGAAAACGAGTTACCGCTCCATTGCAAATTATTCACGCAGATGTTATGGGTCCTATTTCACCAGCATCTCATCCAAAGGGATGCTGATTTATATCCGTTTTTATTGACATTTACTCTAGATTGTCTATAGCTTATCCCATGAAAGCTAAGAATGATACTTGACACTTCTTGGAAATGTTCACGGAACCGAATTTACTGGGGGAAAAACAGTTGAAGTGTTGGAAAAATTAGGTGAAGAATTGCAGTTGGCCTCACCTGATACACCCGAACATAACAGGGTTGCTGAAAGGTTTAATCAATCTATTCAGAACAAGGTTCGAGCTTATATGTACGACGCGAAATTACCTGAACATTTTTGGGATTTAGCTTTTTCTGCGAGTAATTATGCGTATAATAGAACTCCTCACAAATCCAATAACATGATCACCCCATTGGAAAAATTTGCTCCAAATCATAGTTTTGACATCAAACAACTCAAAAGGTTTGGATGTCTAGCTTACATCAAAGTTCAGAGAAAAACAGGTCCAAAGTTTAGACCTGAAGGTAGGCGAGTTATTATGATTGGGTATACTCCCACGGGATATTTGCTTCTCAGACCAGAAGATGGGAAGTATTATGAGAGCAGAGACGCAAGATTTAATGAAAAGTTGGTCTATGGAGACAAATACAATAAAGATAGCATCAAAGATTTCCCTTACCTGACTGAAGAGATTGATAAGGAAAGGTGGTTTGTGGAGTTTAATGATGAGGAGAATCAGGTTAACGAAGATGTAAAACCGGAGGGAGAGAGCAAACATAAGCGTGGGAGACCAAGAAAAGAGAAAACAGACGTTGTTGACGATAAATCAAAGAAGAGAAAAGTAGAAGCTAACAAAACAATTGAGAAAATTAGCTTTTCAAATTTGCCGATCGATGAAAACCTTAAAAGAAACGCATTATCGGTTGAAGTGGTGAACAATGAAAATAATGAAAAGTATGATGAAGTCGTATATGCTTGTCTGGCAGATATAAATCATGATCCGATAAATTACAAAGAAGCAATGCAATCGAAAGATAAAGATTGTTGGCAACAGGCCATTAAGGATGAGTTAAAATCTATGGAAAGTAATCGAGTCTGGAAAATTGTTAACAGGCCTGAGTAGATGAACAACGGTTAAAAGGTTACCGTCATTGATTCAAGATGGGTATTCAAACGAAAGATAGAGCCGAACAATAAAAATGCGATACAAAGCTAGATTAGTCATTCGAGGGTTCAAAGACAAGAACAATTATCAGTTGAGCGAAACGTATGCACCTGTGTCTAGATTACCACTTCTCAGAGCAATGATATCTATAATTAATAAATACAATCTAGAAGTTTGCCAATTAGACGTGAAGACGGCATTTTTACATGGTATTATAGTCGAGGAAATTTACATGGAGATTCCAGAAGGAGCATATGATTCGAATGACTCAAGACGAGAAAAGGTATGCAAATTGGAGAGAGCTTTGTATGGATTACGAATTAGTCCTAAGAAGGGGAATGACAGATTTACCGAAGCTGCGATAAAGTTAGGATTACCGAACTCCGACTTGGAACCATGCTTGTTTACCTGGAGAGCAGGGAATAAGTGTTTGATTTTGCTACTATATGTAGAAGATATACTAATGGCGAGTAATGACTCAGACAAATTGAATGAAGTAACAAATAAATTGAGTAGAGAATTCGAGATGACTGTTCTGGGTAAACCAAAAGAGTTTTCAAGTAGTTCAATAAGACGCAACAGAAATGCACAAACAATTGAATTGAATCAGGAGAAATACATTGATAAGTTTTTGATGAGATTTGGCTGTTCTGATTCATATTCACAAAGAACACCAATGATGACGACTCATGCTTACAATAGGGAGAGAAAAATGCGAGAAACGGAGTATAATGATGAGACATAATACAACCGAGAATTAAATTCCCGTATAGAGAAGCGGTAGGAAGTCTGATGTATTTGTCTAGCACGACGAGACCAGACATCTGTTATGCCGTAAACGTATTAAGTAGACCCCAGATCAACCCCTCAGAAGAGGATTGGAAGATGGTTGTCAGGGTTTCCAGGTATTTGAAGGGTACAAAAACCATCGGTCTAAAATATTCTGGTGATAGACGCGACATTCAAGCTTACGGCGATGCGAGTTTTGCTGGTTGCAAAAATTCTCTGATGACGAGTGGGTTTGTAATCAAACTGTTTGGAGATGCGATTTCGTGGAAGACGCACAAACAACCATATGTAGCTCTATCCACATGTCACGCTGAGTATGTGTCAATGAGTGAGACGAGTCAAGAAATGTTATCAATTTATAATTCCTTGAGACTAATGATTGTTGAGCCATTGGTACCAATGATATTGTGGTGTGATAATAAAGCAGCTAAAATTAATGCTGAAACTAATGAAGGAAACAAATTAAGACACATACTTGAAGTTAAAGAACATCACATTAAAGGATGTGTTAAAAGAAAATTGATAATTGGGATGTTCTAAGGATCAATTGGCAGATGTTTTTACTAAACCTTTGGCATTTGATATACATAAATATCTTGTGGACAAAATAATGAATACTGATGTATAATTGTTTGTTTATTCTGTTATTTAGGTACTAATTAACTTGAGAATCAATTGCTTAAGAATAGTGTTCCAAGACGGGATTCCAGGACTGTTCGGGAGGGAGTATTGGTAATGTAGCGCTCGCTCCTGTCTCCCGTATACTCTACTCTCCGCTCTACTCTTTATATAGTTGGTGCGCTGGTTGCCGCGAGCGTCACGCAGGCAACTTTGGCCTCACTCGTTAAGGGGTAACGGAAACTTGTTACCGTGCACATGTGCTGAGACACCTTGAATAAATCTTTTATACATTCATATAAAACTCTGTGTAATTATTTGGTTCACCAAAACCAACAAAAATTTTGAGGCAATTTTTCATATACAGAATTAGGGGGTTTACTCCTTAGAAAAATAAGCCTCTTACGGGACCAAGCTTCTTCCAACGATCCCTGCGTAATGTGCGATTGGTCTTTTCAAACTCCAACGCCGAGAAAGCAAGTAAGAGCTATAATTAGGGCGGATGGTTAAATGGTTTACGAAATTTTTGTCAGCCGAATAATTCATTCAACTTACTCGTTTCTTTATCCTTCCCTAGTTCATATTCATGAAATATTTCCTAATTATACTGGGACAAAATCGTACATACCGATGCTCGATCCCTTCCAACAGATTAATGTGCTCGATTCTCGAAAAAGAGTACTAATTTTCGGAAGGATAAATAAGATTGGGAACTTTGAATTTTAATCATAGGTTACTAATGATGCTGAGAAGAGATTAATCAGACTTATTGAGTTATGCATATCTGAGTTTTTACGAACTACTTGGATCTTATCACTCTATGCGAGATACAAAAATTTAATCAATCTTTTTAAGATACTTAAGATTAAGATCAAATAAATCCAATATTGAAATTGGCTTTAGAAATGTTTTTGAGTTACGTAGATCCCTTTAAGAACCGTAGAATATTTTTGCATTGAACTTTGAAGCAGCCATGAATTTTTCATGAATAGCCCTCATAATGACTTGGTAACTATGCAGTTTATATTAGAACATTGCGCATCAAATTTTTAATTCATTAGTAGTGTGAATGTAACTCCCAACATATAATTAATGTATTAGAATTCGAATTATCATTTGTAGCATTCTCAATTAAATAATTATATAATTAATTCGAATGGGATTTCTATTGTCTCAGGATCTCAAAGAGGTATAGAGGAATTAAAACTTGCGCCTTTCTTCCGTGGGGTTGATTGGGAGCATATAAGGGAGAGGCCAGCAGCTATTCCCGTAGAAGTTAGATCTATCGATGACACGTCCAACTTTGATGATTTCCCCGATGTCAAACTTGAAATACGTGAGGACAATTAATTTTTAAAAAATCACCATTTGGAATTTCACATATTGTTTTTTGTAACCAATGGATTTTGGCGATTGCATCAGACAGCATGCGCCGGTGGCATTTTATCTATAGTCATTTTGATTGCGGAAAATATCTGCACAAACTAACCAATCCACTCAATTTATCTATCTTTTTATTTTAGCATCAGCGCCATTGCCCCAAGATGGAGAAGTGATATATAAGGACTGGGTATTCATAAACTACACATTCAAGCGTTTTGAGGGGTTAACACAACGAGGCACGCCAACAAAAAAATAGCAACTCATGTTCAATAGCAATTCATGTTCGACATTTAATCATCGAAGTTACACTACAGATATTCCGGCCCAGGTACACCAGCAAACATAAATGTTTGTACTCACGAGTCTGCCCAAATTTGGATAACTGATGAGGAAAAAATATATATATAAAACAGAAAATATGGAATTATTTTTTCTGCAACAGCTTCATACACACTTTTAAGAATGGATGGAAGTCAATGAAATATCGGCGACTCAAACCATGAATAATCATATTGTGGTGTCAAACGAAATGCTTTTCAACGAACTTACCAGTCCTTTTTTTCAGTTTTTACTTTCTAACGGATCCGAAAATTCCGCGCTAATTGAACCTTAGTTTCAAAAGAATAGCTTCTTAGAAATGAATGATACCTTTCCCGCTCTCTCTCTCTCTCTCTCTCTCTCTCTCTCTCTCTCTTTCTCTCTCTTTCACTCACGTTCCGTTGAATTGCAAGAGGGCAAAATTACGTCAAAGAAGATGGAAAAAAGATTTATTATTATCAAAGATGCGCGCTGTGATAAATCCATGTTTTTTCTGAAACATTAAGAGTGATGAACGCTGATTGCAGGTGGAAAGATGTTTAAAGGGATGAAGTTTTTATCTGCAGGAACTCGGGTTAATGCCATCTAACAGACGCTAAAGGTATTGAACGGTTTTCGAATGTCCTGAGGAAATGAATAAAATAGCTGAATATTCGAGAGGGAACAGCTTCTAAGTACATCTCATTTTACAATCTCTAACAGCCAAGATAATACGCTCCTTTCATTCATAATTGAACCATTATGTTCTTCAAAATTGATCAGTGGGTGTTATTGTCGACTGAATAATTCAGCTATTCGTTGCAATATCATAAGCCCCACATGTGAACCTAAGAAATAATAATAGAATAGATGGAAAAAAATGTAAAAAAAATATCACGAAGTAAGAGAAAAATAAAGAAATGGAGTAAAAAAAGGTAACAAACAATTGTTTCCAGTGCTGCCTCGATAAGGACTCTAAGGTGCTTCGTTACATATTGATTCGAAGGATGGAAATTTATAAACGATAATACATCGTTGAGGAGGTGGAGATGTTCTTGACGAATGATATTTCCAATTGTTGGTATCGATGAAAAATTAAAAATAAATTGCAGAGCTAAAGCGAGAGGGGACACGTAACATATAGCGTGGCTGGTCACTTAAAGCGCCCAGAGTCACCTAAATCATACAATCTTTTGTAACATCCGCCTTAGTTTCGGTCAGTCACACAGCCCCAGCCCGGTGTTTCTCACTAGGCTAATAAGGCTGGTGACAACCGCTTGTTGTAAGTCCTCTGGTTCCAGGAAAGCCTGACCCCAGATTTTATAGCGACGGAGTGCTAATAGGGGGCATTCACATCAAATGTGGATAACGCCCTCCTTATCGCCTCCGCACAGTCTGCAGTCTTCTTGTTCTGCAAGTTTCATCTTGAACAGATGCACTCTGAGAGCTGTATGACCCGTGAGGAGCCCTACTGCTACCCTCAGATCCCCTCTGTGCAGCTCCAGAAGCTTTCTGGTTGTAACTCTTAGTTGGCCCCTCATAAGCAGTTACGCTTGTCTGCAGGTCGCAACTTTCTCCCAACGCCTGACATGATCTCGCCGGAAATGTTCTTTGATAAGAGTTTTTCCCACTGCGAAGGGCATGCCAAGCAGGCCGTGTGAGGGCACCCTTTCTATACCCTCCTTGGCCAGCTTATCTGCCTCTTCATTACCCAGAATCCCATGGTGACCTGGCACCCAGGTTACGGTGACCCGGTTGTTTTTACCCAGTGTGTCCAATGCCTGCATGCATTCCCACACCACCTGTGACTCTGTAGTGGGTTTTTCCAGGGCGTGTATCGCCGCCTGGCTGTCACTGCAGATGAATATTTTCATCTTTTTTGTGTCTCTCGCGTTCAGATACTCTGCACACTTAAGTATGCCCAGCATCTCTGCTTGAAAGACGGTTGAATGATGGCCCAGCGGAAAACTCTCTCCGAAGCCATCTTTCAGACGGTAGATGCCTGCCCCAAAACTTTCATTGAAGCCAGAGCCGTCCGTAAACCAGTAGTCCTCTCTTGGTCCTGGTTTACGTTTCGAGTCTAGCCACTCCTGTCTGGGTGGTATACTCGTTCTGAAAGTTTTCCTGATCTGATACTTCCTAGGAATCCTATCCGTCTTACCTATGAAGGGTCGATCATTGATTAGGGTAAGTCTTGTATGGCCTTGGCCCGCCATCTTTCATTCTTGTTGACACCTTAGTCTATACGCAGTTGTGGTAGCACAACTCATAACCCTAAGGTCGAGGGGTGGGATACTGGGATACTGCTATTTATAGCGCCTCGGTAGGTGTCGATTTCATGGCTCCTGTTGCAGCCCTCAGGAAGGTTCCCTGTAGGCTTTTCAACAGGTTCCTTGTTTCCGTCTTACTCACCCTCGGCCACCAGACGACCGCAGCGTATAACAGTCTCGGAAGTAGAACTATTTGGTAGAGCCAGAGCATCATTTTAGGATTGAGTCCCCATGTCCTGCCCACAGCTCTCCTGCATGCCCACATAGAGGCAAACACTTTATTTCTCTGAGTACAGATATGTTCTTTCCAGCTGAGTTTATTATCCAGGAGGACACCCAGATATTTCACTCTGCTGGTGTAGTTAATCTCCGAGCCATTTAGCTTCAGAGGTTGGATCTTTTCCAGTTTATAATTTCTGCTGAAAACCAGGACTGTTGTCTTGGCTGCATTTACCGATAGGGCAGTTTCCCTGCACCAGTCCTCAATGATATTGAAGGCTATTGCCATCAGGTCCCTTAGC